CAGTGGAAAAAAACCTCCCACAAAAAAAAAAAAAAAAAAACCAGAAAAAAAAAAGGCCAGGGTTTTGTTTTTTATTGAGTATATGTGCCACAGTTTTGTTCTGTTTTAATTTCAAGAAATGCACTTTTAGCTTTAAAAAATCAAAATAAAAACTGTTAAAAATTTGCTTAAGACTTTAAGGCAGGGGACCAGCAGATGGTATAATGGCTATGTCGTTGGACTCCCACGTAGTCGACCGCAGTTCGCGTCCAGGACCCGGTGGCTTAAAACTCACGCCGGGCGCGTGTGCATGTGTGCCCAAGATCCCGAGAGGAGAACGGAGGAGAAGGGATTGCGGTGTGACCATCCCCCCTGGGGGGTGATTTCTCGCTTTCTGTCTCTATGTCTCTCTCTGTATGTCTGGCAAGCGCACATGCCCTATAACGAAAATCTCTCCAAAAAAAAAGTAAAAAAAAGTAAAAAAGACTTTAAGGCAGGAAAAAAAGTTAGAATTCTGTTCAAACAGTAGGCAGATACTAAAAATTCAAAAAAAAAAATCTCTCCAAAAAAAAAGTAAAAAAAAGTAAAAAAGACTTTAAGGCAGGAAAAAAAGTTAGAATTCTGTTCAAACAGTAGGCAGATACTAAAAATTCAAAAAAAAGATATGGACAGAGCTAAAATCTAGTAACAAGTACACTGTAATTTTCTTCTGAAACATTTTTTTCTCTCTCCATTCCCCTTTTTACCAAAGACAGGCATAAACTAACTTATTTGAAAAAAATTTAAAAAATGTTTAGTCTCAATTTGGTCTGTTATTTGCACAAAGCCCCATAAGAGTTCTACTTGATTCATTTAGTTCTGCTGGATCCTTTTACAAGGAAGGAATTTAAAATTAGACTCTTTAAAAAAGCCTCCAAGGTTACGAAGCTAAGTCAGGAATTCGTCATCTAACTGTGTCTCTAAGTACCTGTACTTGAGAGTTTTTTGGGCCGGTCAGGAAGTGACATTCTTTACTTATCTGCCAGCAGAAGTGTTTATGGTACCAGGAAATCTTTCCAAGAGCTTTGTTGGCTTTCTTGAGCTCTACCTTAGTTCCTTGGCTTTCTGGTCAGATCTTGAGATATGACATTCTAGTCAAAGCCCTGGCAATAACCAGTATTTTCAATTTCTGATGCAAGGCCACAGATATTATTGAACTTAAGCAAATAATTATTCTGCCACAAAATAAGAATGCTCACAAATATTTTGCAAATCCTTAGGGGTCAGGAAGGGAGAAAAGTTTGTTTCAATTTTTAAAAATTAACAAATTGCTGAACCTATCAATAGCTCAAAAGAAAAACTTTGCAAATCTGGAAGATAAAGCATAGAGAAAATCAGCAGCAATGTTTCACTAGCATTCCCTGAGCATCATCACAACATACTAAATGTGGTTTCTCATCTAGAATAAACTGCATAGTGGCTTAATCATGCATGTTATCATCCATAATATTCCATTTCTACTTTCATATATATATGTTTTTTACCCCATATCTGATCCTCTGCCCTATTCCACTCTCTTATTACACTATCTCTGTTGTCTACAGTTGTCTTCAATTCCTTTCCTCCCAACATTTTGTTGATCACACAATATCATAAGTAATCTAACTACTTTCAATAGCAAGTTCAGCTGGTGGTTTCAAGAAAAGCACTTTTGAACTGGTAAGGATATTTCCTTGAAACTTAAATCCTAGAAACAGGTTAGTATTCTGTTCAAATAGTAGGTACATGAACCTATTGACAGCTCAAGACAGGACAAAAATCCTTAAAACTGGACAACAAAACTTAGAAGAAAGGCAGCAATATTTTAGTCAAGTCACAGAATGCTGTTTCATCAGTTCAGTCTCATGTACTTAATCTTTCTTCTGTTGTGGTTCGATCTTCCAGATTGAATTCTGGGATATAATATTCAACTCCAGACTTTGTCCCTACAATTAAGTTG